AAACTATCTTCATAAATTTAGAGTTGTTTTAAAAATAAACTTAAATAGTAAAAATTTATATATAGTGATATATTAAATTATTTAATATCTTGGCCCTTGAACATTAAAATATATATAATATGTAAATATACATATATGTATGTGTGTGTATGTGTGTGTATATATATATATATATATATATATATATATATATATATATATGATCTTAGGAGTTGATAAATCTCCTTGTTTAATTCAATAAGCTTAGGACACCCTTAGAAGATGAAGATTATGAGTTCCAGAAATAGCAAGAGATGTGGCTTGAATGGAAAAAGAGAGGAGAGAGATCTCAGGTAAGCTCAGGTTCATGATGAGAAGCAGGTTAGGGGGTGTCTTGTAAGTGCTTTGGCTTTGACTCAGTAAAAAGTGGAGGTTTTGAGTAGACAGGTGACACGATCCACCTGACATTTCAGTAGGCTTGCTCTGGCTGCTGTGTGAAGAGACTGAAAGGCATTAAGGGCCAAAGCAAGGAGACCAGTTAGGAGGCTGCCATGGTAACTGGTGGTGATGGATGGTGGCTCTGTCAAAGGTAATTAGAAAGGTCAGATTTGAACTTTGTGTTGATGTTCTTCTATTAAATGCCATGCATATTGTTGAAGAGCTGAATTTTCCATGTAGGAAGTAGAGGAATATTAAAAAAGCCTTGTGAACTGAGAGCACAGGGGGAGACTATTGGTTAAACAGATAATAGCTAAGGAAAAACAAAACAATGAGGAATTTGCAAATATGCTTCTCTGGTGTGATTCTTTATATAATTAAGCACCTGTATTTCTCTGAAAGAAACCTAGTATCATCAAGTTCAATAGGACATTTTCACCAGTCCCACGCAGGTTACTACTACCTGTTAGACGATGCAAAGAAAGGCATTGTTTTGCATTACTCTTTCTTCTGGTAGAATGTGTTTGCTGCTGCTTTCTAGCGTTTTTATTCCTCAGTTTATTTCTTGATTCTTCTAGGTGTCCATTGCTTTTGGAATTTCTCTACATATTTTAGATTTTTTTTAACATACAGTATCTTTACTTATTTATATGTGGTGCTGAGGATCAAACCCAGTGCCTCACACATGTGAGGCAGGTGCTGTACCACTGAGCTACAGCCCCAGTCTCTACATATTTTAATAGCTTATTGAGCTGGAACTGGCACAAAGAAAGCTGTATATATTTAAAATACACAATTTTATTGTTTTTGACAAATCCACATACTTGTGATAACATCATCACAAAACAAAACACATCATCTCATGTCTATCTTCATCCCTCCTTTCTCCTTCCTCCCCCTCTGCTCTCAGGCAACCACTGATCTACTTTCTATCACTGCAGATTGTTTATGATTTCTAAAAATTTATGTGCATGAAATCACCTGCATATACTTTTTCTGTGTTCTTCAAGTTCATCTAATTATTTTGAGATCCATCTGTATCATAGCAGTAGTCCATTTCTTCTTATTGCTTGGTAATGTTTCTTGTACGGATATACCACAATTTGTTTACCCATTCATCTGTTGATGGACATTTGGGACAATAACATTAGGACAAATTTATTTGGCCAGTACAAATAAGACCATTATGAACATCCATATACAAGTTTTTATTTGTATATATTGTTTAATTTCCTTATATAGGTACCTAGGGTCTTGATAGGCATATTTTAATTTTTTTCAGAAACTCCCAAATTATTTCCTAAAGCCAATGTACAATTTATGTCTACCTGTAGTTTCTAAGAATTTTTGTTGTTCTATGAGTATGCCAACACTTGGTATGATCAGTCTTTCTAATAGACATGTAGGATATCTCATTGAAATTTTAATTTGCATTTCTGAATAATTAATAATGTTGACTTTCTTTCCATGTGCTTATTTGTTATCATTATATCTTTGATAAAAATATCTCTTTAGCTAGGTACAGTGGCGCATGCCTGTAACCCCAGTACCTCAAAAGCCTGAGGCAGGAGGATTGCAAGTTCGAAACCAGCCTCAGCAACTTAGCAAGGCTCTAAGAAAATTAGCAAGACCTCGTCTCAAAATAAAAAATAAAAAGGGCTAGGGTTTGTGGCTCAGTGGTTAAGCACACCTGGGGTCAATCCTAGAACCAATATATACATATTGAAATCTTTTGTCCATATTTACAATATGGGTTGTTGGTTTTCTAATTAATAAAGGGACAGATCTTCATATATTCTAAATATTCTAAAAGAAACAACTTCATTAGGTAAGTGGTTTGCAAATATTTTCTCCCAATATAGTTTGTCTTTTCATTTTCTTACTCTTTTTGGAGGGCAGATGTTCTTAATTGTGGTAAATGAAATAATTATCAGTGTTTTTCTTTTATGGATCGAATTTCTGGCCTCATGTCAAAGAAAACTGATGAATCTAAGACCACAAAGATTTCTCCTATATTTTCCTTTATTCTATGTTAGAAGTTTTATAGTTTTAGTTTTTACATTTATGTTCTATGATACATTTGGAGTTAATTTTTTTATAGTAAGTGTAAATAAAAATTCTTTTATTTTAAATACAGATATCTAATTGTTTCAGAATCATTTACAACAATTCTCTTCATGAAATTGTCTTTTCACCTTTAACAATCATCCACTGACCAAAATATGTATACTTCTATTTCTAGATTCTCTATATGTTGTATTGATCTAATTGACTCTCATGCAATGTCACACGACTAACTAGTACTAGTAGCTTTTTGAAGATGCATATGATTTTCTATGAAGATGATCATCATATTGTATAAGAATGAAGTTTTATTTCTTTTTAAAATCTTCATGGCTTTTATTTATTTATTGTTGTTCTTGTTGCTTTATTCCACTAGAATAAAGCTAGAGTCTGCATCACATTGTTGAATAACATTCATGAAAATAGACATACTTCCCTTGTCTTGGATCTAATGAAAAACACATTTAACCTTTTACTATTAGAATATTAGCTTCAAGTGTTTTCCTTTTTAATCTTGTTGTTTATTGTTGCTGTTGTGGATACCCTTTTTGGTTTAACCAAAGCTTTGGCAATTGAATTCTTTCAAGTTCAGTTGTCCTCAACTGGAGGTGATTTTGTTCCCCAGTGGACATTTGTCAATGTTTTGATACATTTTTAGCTGTTACAACTGGGGCAAGGTGTCTGAGAAACATGTGACAGTGCACAGAACAGCTTCCCACAACAAATAGTTATCTGACTCACAATATCCATAATGTTTAGGTTGAGAAACCCTACTTTAGTTTTAGTTTGCTGAAAGCTTTTATCAGGAAAGGATGTAGGAATTTAAACATTTTTTTCTAATATGATTTTTATTTTTTCTGCATAAATTTTTCTTTTTAAGCTATTAATATGCGGATTCCATTGACTAATTTTTAAATATTAAACAAATCTTGCATTCCAGGGATAAACCAACCTTAATCATGGCATATTATCTTTTATATGTTATTGAATTTTATTTGCTAAAATTTTGTTAATTTTTGTATCTATATTAAAAAGAGAATTGTTTGTTGTTCACTTGTTATCTTTATTGTTTATTTTTAAGTTAATTCTATTGTGGTTGGAGAATATACCATGAATAGTTTAAATTCTTTTAAATATATGTCTTGTTTTATGGCTAGATATATGGTTGCTATGGTAGATGCATTGGAATAGAATGAGGATTTGGGGTTTTTGTTTGTTTGTTTTCTTCTTTTTTTGTAATGTTATGAATGAGATATCTGAACAAGGTCTAGAAAACCGCAGTGTTTTCACCACTGTTCTGATGAGCAGGTATAAAAGAGCATCCATTATACATAAACTGGACTCAGAACTTCAGGGAACCTTTTGCTTCTATAGATTCTCATATTTTCATGGAGTAGAGATCACTGTAATCCTGCTATTTTAAAGTATTATTCACTTTCATCTCCATCTACCAGTTTGATAACTATTTCTACTTGAGATAAATATTAATCAGGATTTAACCAAAGCTTTGGCAATTGAATTCAGCCAAATTTCAAATATAAACTCATCACTGCATGTGGTTGCAAAAATTTTTGTGTTACTATGGATTATCAGTCTCTCAGCATGCTAACCATTATAAAGGACACAGTTAAAAATAGCTTAAAGAATTCTTTATCAGACCTTAAAAACAGTTGATGTTCTTCACAGTATTTAATAGGATATCCTTACATTTATGCAATATCATTATCACAGCCTGGCCATAATTATTTTCTGGGATAGAGCAACACATCAACAGTGTTTTCTTTCATGAACTTCAATGACATGTTTCCACTTAGTGTGAGAAATGAAAATATATATTAAAAAACCTTTTAAATTAAAGTTTTCATGAAATTTCATTTGTCATTGTAAGTTAGAGAAAAATATAATGGGCGGAAAGTAGTAAGACATTTGCCAAAACTTAAATGTTAGAAAAATAGTTTGAAAGAGTTTGTAAAACATGTGTCCTAATAGGTTTCTTCTATCCTTATGTTGGAAGGTAGAATTTCACTACCAAAATAATCCTACTGTGGAATAAAATATAAAAGAATTTCCCCTACTTGTATTAGTTATTCACGGGCCAAAGCAGAGTGTCGGTTATAGTTGCCAAGTTCTTAGGTAGACAAATGAACCTCAGAAATGCAGTAGCTGGTTTATGTGGGGCCTTGCTGAGCTTCAAGTTTTTTAATGAGTTAAAATAATATTTTGGGTCTTGAGTAAAAGGTGTGAACTATCAAAAACACAGATATTGGACTTTAGAGTTTGGGACAAAAACAACTTCACATGTAAAGTCAATTTGAGCAACAGGCTCATTGAACTTGGAGACAGAATCCCCTGGTGATGGTCTCTATGAATGATTTCCTTGCACTGTGTAGGGGCGGAGCAGGTCTGATGGTTCTGAATTTCCTAGAGAAGATTGTTCCACAAACACTATGTATGCTCAGAAATTGTCTTAGCTCACATTTGAGTAGCCACGTCAAGTTGATTATTTTCTTGCCTTCTAGATGAGAAGATCATGAAGATAACAGTAATGGTACTTATTGCTCAACAAGAAGATAGAAACCAAAGCAACACATATCAGCAACTGGAGGAAATGAATTACAAGAAATGGTTTTCTTAAAGTGTGTCTGGTAGTTTTGTTATTTCAACCTTTTTTTTCCAATTCTGATTAGAAAAAAAAAGAACAACTAAACAGCAAACGATTTGAGCATCCACTGGGTACCAGACACAGTGTTGTTGGGGATTTGAAAGATAATTGTAACAATTGCTTTATCATTTGGTAAGTTTTGTAAATACTTAGACATGCACAGCACCGTATAAATATTTGATATTGCTTTATTTTCCATTTTAAGTGAAGTTCATTTTAAGGTTTCTTCCAAAATCCTTGTTATCCTAAGGCCTAACATTAATGTTGGTACCTGAGGGATTAAAGGCTAACATGAGAAAGCCAACCAGTATTAGATTTCTCTCTCCTCAGACCATTTTATACACCTTCTCCCAGTCCTCTCTGATACCTCATACAAACTTCTGATGCCCCAAGTACCTCTATTAATACATCCATTTTTAAAGAGGGAATTGTATTATGAGATAATACAGAAAGCAACTTACTGCTGAATTTTAAAAATTCCTTGAAATGAAAACCACAAAGGAAATACCAAGTTGCTTCTCCAAGAGATGGAGGAAATTTGTAAGACAAGATATTCAGTTTCTGGTTTTTGCTTTCATTATTTGAAGACATTTCTGTGTTTCTTGGCTCTGTGTGTATACGTGGGTGTGTATGTGTATTTGGGGGGGGGGTGCGGGTGTTTCCAGATACATGTAGCATAGTTTTGAGCCAGACCACATGTCTGTGAGTCAAATTTTCAGCCTGCATTTGTTTTAAACCGTGAAGCTTTGGGTGTAACCTAACAGAACCTGGCAGGTTGTCTGAATAGTTCTTTCAACACTTGACCCAGAATACAGTAAATCATATGACATATTGTTCCAATTTTACATTAGTGCTCATATTTTAATAAAAACGGAAGAGTGTGTTCTATCAAGAATTTTTTTAGTATAAACAAAAGCTAGTCACAGATCCAAGCTATTAGAGCATTTAATATTGGAGTCACAAAATGTAGCTTACTTGGTTTAAAAACAAAAAAAAAAAAACTGAAAAAAAAACAAAACTATACATGTAAATATTTTGGCATTTGGTGTGGACTGAATTGGGTTCCTTCCAAAATTCATATGTTGAAACCTCCAGCCTCCAAGTGACAGTATTTAGAGATGGCACTAACTCAGTTTAAAGGAAGTTAGGAAGCCAAGGCTCTTGAGATGGGATTGGGGCCCTGATAAGAGGAACAGACATTGGAGCTCTCCTCTGCCATGTGAGGTCATAGAGAGAAGGTGGAAGTCTGCAAACCAGGAAGAGGTTCTTTGCCAAGGATTAATTGCCCAGCACTTAGATTTTGGACTTTCTGAATTTCAGAACTGTAAAAAATATGTCTATTTGTATAACCACCAAGCCAACAAATAGTATTTTGTTATAGCAGCTTGAGCAGACTAATACAGCATTTTACATTGTGTTAATTTAATGAAACACTCAATTCTGGCAATTGTCCACAAAAAAACAGTAAAAATAATGATGATAATAATAATAATGGAGGGAATTTGATGAGTTATCCCTTTTTTTCTTGCTAGTTAAATTTCTTTTTTTTTGTTTTTTTTTATTTTTTATTGTTGGTTGTTCAAAACATTACAAATTTCTTGATATATCATATTTCACACTTTGATTCAAGTGGGTTATGAACTCCCATTTTTACCCCATATACAGATTGCAGAATCACATCAGTTACACATCCATTGATACATATTTGCTAGTTAAATTTCTGGGGGAAAGTGAATTAAGATGGGGCTTAAATTTTATGCTTCCTTCTAAATAAATATTAGCACTGTGTACAATTAAATTATGAGCCATTCCCAGCCCAGCTATCTCATAGCAAGATGAATCAAAATAATCTGCATACTTATTTTTAGAAAGACTTATCATATATTACATAGGGGGAAAAAAATCACCTCTTCCACATTTTAAAATAGATCTAGTTACTTTCAATTAGCTTAAGTGATGGGTCCAGTTACTCAGCTCTTCAGTGGCAAAGCTCCCTTCAGCCAGTCCAAGCAAAGGTCTTCAAGTCTTAGGACAGAATCTCACTTGAGCCGATGACATTTTTCTCCATTTTGAATCCATGAAGGTCCGATTAGAGCTGGAAGAAGATTCTTTACAGAAAAAAAAAAAAAGCTCCCTTTCCTTGTCCTCTGACCCCAAGGTCATTTGCACGGAACTAACTTGTTTCATGGAATAGTATGAGAATAAGAAATTGAATGGGAAAAGGGAACAACAGGAAAAAGGTTTTTCAGAATACGATTCTGCCAAATTATTTCCAAGGTGACCTATATCTCAGTGTCCCTCTCCGTCCGCTTCTTGACTTTAAAACTTCCATGCACTTTGGATACTGGAATGAGGAAACCATCATTCAGTCCTGTCTCCAGGTGGATCTGTAATTCCTGATTCCTTTTTTGTTCTTCTTGCTGTTATGAAATCTTTTGAGACACATAACGGATGCTCCTCGAACACTCACTGATCGCCAGACCCTGTCTCAGTGCTGTACAGGATTGCTCTTTTAGTCTGTCAACAGTCATAGTGGGAAGGATGTACAAATATGTTCCCAGTGTGGGCAAAGTAACTGAGGTTGAGAGCGCTTATCCAACTTGTCAAAGTGCCCACGTTGGAAAAAGTACCTAACCTAAAAGCACAGCTTTTCACTACTGCCTGGTGATAGGTTAAACTCCTCCCTGTAACTTCTCACCCTGCTGACCTTCATCCTTGAACTTAACCATTTACAAAGTTCCTCTTCATATTAACCTGACATCTTCTAAATTACATAAATTGCAAGGCAGAGAATTGAACAGAAGGAATAAATACTTTAAATACGAATTTCCAAACATAATTTTTTGATAGTATAACTATATAAAAAAGTTTGGAAATAACCAGTATAACAATTGATAAATAAACTTGATGTGTGCATTAGATGAAATGCTAGGTGTTACTAGTAATTCTTATATTAGACTACTAATTAAAATAAGCTAGAGTCAACAAAACCACTGCAAAGATAAAACAAAAACTCATCAAAAAATCAATTCCTAGAGAGAAACACTGGAAAAATATATCAAAATGTAACAGTAAATGTCTTTGAATAGTAGAATCTTAGTGATGTTTTTCTTTGTTTTCTAATTTTGAGCATTTTCTAATTTTCCCATAGCAAGTACAAAATATTTAATATAGAAAAGTAAAGTATATTGGATATAAAGAATATACTAAACAAGTTAAGATAGTAAGAAGTTTCTGCCAACAAATATCTCTATGGTTTCAGGTAAAATAATTTATTTGTGCCTCATTTTCCTAATCTTTAAAGGAAGGGGGAGGAACTAAGTATGAATTACAATTCCCATGTAGCATATTATAATTTTTGTTTACATTAACTTTTTTTTTCATGAGAAGTAGACAATATTTGTTCACTTTTCCTAGAAGAAGTTGATTTCCTCAGAACTTAGGAAACACACAGTAGCTCATGAGGGCCAAGAATCAAAATCATGCTATTACCAAAAAGAACATTTAAATCTCCTCCCTCACAAATATTTTATATGCTATGTTTATATATATATGATTATTTATGTCTCACTTTTTTCATGTCATACTCTTAAATATTATCCAAACTTTTGGTTTTGTTTTCATTTATGCTAGCAATTCCTAGAACATTCTTAGGCATTTCTCCAAAAACTTTTTCTTGATCAAAGTGAATCATGGCACCTTCTTATCATTTTTTATACACATACAGCAAAACTATTAAGGCTTTCCATAATGTAGTATCTTTTACTTCATTAGTGGTAAAGGACCTTATCATCTCTCTCTTTTAAAAAATATAAATGTTTTTATGCCTTTATTTTATTTATTTATTTTTATGTGGTGCTGAGGATCCAACCCAGTGCCTCCCCATGCTGGGAAAGCGCTCTACCACTGAGCCACAATCCCAGCTCCATCATATCATCTCTTGATGTTGTATTTTTCTCTTTTTCCTTTACACACACACACACACACACACTCCTACTGAGTGTACTTCAGTTGAAGGCTCTGCACATTATAATTTGTTTTTCAGACTACATTAATTTGGGAGTTAAAAACTGGAATTCACTGTTCTCAGAGTCTCCACAGAGTGGTGTATGTTCTACCAAGGCTCAGTTGCCATTGGACAGGCACCATTTTCCTCCAGCCATGCTTCCAAAGAGGCAAAGAGAAGGCGATTTTCCCTTCAGATGCTAAATGAAAGTTAAGGTGCTGATCCCCTGGAAATGTCACAGCTCCTGCTGAGAGGCTCTGAATAGACACTGGGTGATGTTTTTCTGTCATGGCCAGAGCCAGCTGCTGTCAACCCTGAAGACACTGCTTTCTCTTTTTCAACGGTTAAGCCACAGCACTGTATCACCAATATTGTGTTCTCTTCGTCTTCTATAGAGAGCTTAATATTTTTAATTAATATTCTTTCAGTTGCAGCCCTTCATAAGCCTTTGGGGATTGCAACGGAGGAAAATGCAATACTATGGTGGATATCACATCTGCCTTTTGCAGCACTGCACCAGCTCCTCTAACTGATCTGGTACACCTCTCACTCACTGTCTCATACCTTATTGGAGACTCCTGATGTCTTCATAATCACTCATACAATTAAGAATTCATTATATGCCAAGCACTGAGCCAGGTTTCAATCATAGGTGGAGAATGAGACTAAGTTTCTTCCATGTATGAATTTACACCTAATTTAACTTAATTGAATACAGAACTAAGTAAGAAAATACCTACCAATTACAGTGTTGTATTCTATAAATAAAAAGAATTCAGGACAATGGGCTAAAATATGATGTGTATGTGCAAGGATATGTATGTGCACTTTTTGAGACAGATTTTCAGGAAGGAAAGCCTCCGGTGGGGAAAGGGGTTTCAGGACAAGGGAGAAAAAAAAAAGATGAATGCCGCAAGGCAGGCATGTCCAGATCTTTCTGCAACTCAGGGTGAACAAACTTTAGGCAC